GAGGGAGAAGCAGACTCCCCATGGAGCTGGGAGCCCGATGTGGGACTCGATCCCAGGGCTCTGGGATCATGACCTGAGCCGAAGGCAGTTGCTTAACCAACTGAGCCACCCAGGCGCCCGCCACATGACATTCTAAGGGTACATGTTTGTTTATCATGTTTCCTCCCACCGGAATGAAGCGCCATGTGAACAGGCTCCTGCGGCAGCTGACACGCAGCAAGTAAACAGCAAATACAGTTCAATGAGCTGCTGATGGGAAGACAGTCCACTTACACGTAGTCTAAACACTGTGTGAGCAAACGCAGTCTGCACCAAGCAAAGGTCTGAGACCCAAGGGCCTCTCGTCACAAGTTGTTCTGTCTTCTTACCCTACAAGAATAGGGGGCCACATGATGAGCTCCATTTTTAGCAATAACTGGGGCTTCCACTTCCCATCTCAAAAGGAACAGTTAAAATGCTATTAACATCATAAACTTGCTTAGATTATTTGTTTTCAGGTAGTTTAGTGAAGGGATTAAGAACTCTGGAATCAAAGGCGCCTGAGCAGCTCAGTCGGTTAAGCCTCTGCCTTCAGCTCAGGTCACGATCTCAGGGTCCTGGGATTGAGTCCCCTGTCGGCTCCCCACTCAGCAGGGATTCTGCTCCTCCCTCTCCCTCTGTGATCCCTCTTGCTCTTGCTCTCTCTCAAATAAATTGATGAAAAAAAAAAAAAAAGAACTCTGGAATCAAACTCTGGATTAGAATCCAGAATCCACTTCCTAGTTGTGCATCTTTTAGCAAGTTAGTTAATTTCTACCAGCCTCAATTTTCTTATCTGTAAAATGGAGTGATATTACCAACCCTGCTATTAAATGCTTAGCACATATTGAACGCTCAGTAAATGTTAGCTGGTATCATAATCATTCTCTGTCTCTTGGCTAAGGTGGACAGAAAGGGTGAAGTGGGGGCTACATCCCACTTTCCTACCAGGCTACGGGAAGAAACCTAGTTATAGAGTGGCAGCAATCACCTACTGGGAAAAAAGTAAGCTTAGGTTCTGAGGCCTGTTACAAAAAAAGAAAAGGTCACAGAGATGGAGAGGTCAGAGTGGAAAAGCCAGGGGTGGGGGTCTCTATGTTGGCTCCTCTTTCAATGTTCCAAACATCTGCTTGTTCCTTGTCTGCAATTCCTCATTCTCCCTCAATCCGTTCTTCTCTCAAGCTAGAAACCAAGGAATCATCTTTTTCTCTCCTCCCCCACCCCCACCTCCTTTTCATCAACCTGATCGTTAGAAGTGGGTTAACTCAGATCCTCAGTATTTCTGCTGTCTGCCCTCCTCCATCCCCACTGCCAATGCCTTCCTTCGACTCTACTGCTCCCTTTAGAGGACAACATAAGCCCCTAATCTGTCTCCCGGCCTGCAGCCGCCTTCTTCCAACCCACGTTTACACCTTGCCAGTCACCTTTCTTTTTTTTTTTTTTTTTTTTTAATTTTGCCAGTCACCTTTCTAACCCCTTCACATTCCTCAGAGGCTTCTTAACAGTCCTACTGTCAAAGTGCAAACTCCTAAGTACTTCTGAGACCCTCTGAGATCTGGTGCCTGCATACCTGCAGCCACTCCCCTAGCAAAATCCTGCCTCCAGGCCCTCCAGGCCCTTGCGTTTTCCTGGGCTCCCGCCTCTCACAGCCACTTCTAAGCTCAGCATTACTTTTTCTTGAAAGTCTCCACTACAGCCAGCACTGCCCCACCAGGGGTCCCTTCCTGTTTTTCTTACTGTCTTGTGCATCCCTCCACAAAAGCACTTAGTACCCTACACCATAATTGTTGGACTTCCTACCTATCTCGACCTCTACCACACCTCCTGGTTAAACTACAATTTCTGTAAGAAAAAGGACTTTCTCCTAACCTACCTAACACATCACTGAGGATACACAGCATCCTTAGGGGGAAAAAAAAAAGTTTGTTGAGTGAACAATTTTGGAGGGGGCCTGGTGAAGGGTTAATACCGAAAAGACTATAAATTCGATCACATCATGAATGTATTCATGAGAAACAACACTCCTACAGAAAAACTATGTAGATCAAGCACGTTGGTAGGATATGTACATGGAAGCTGCAGTGAATTTACTGGCACTTGTTAAGCAATAAAATGTAGCAAAAAGAGTTTTTAGATCAGGCACAAGATCTAATTTTTAGATCAGGTTTGAATTCCAACTCAACCAATTCTATGCCAAATCACTATGGACAAGTCAGTTAACCTAAATCTCAGTTGCCTCATCTATAAAACAAGGAAAATTCAAGGATCTTCTTGGTCACACTGTTGTATGGAATGAGACAATGGTTGTAGAGTGGCTGGCCCCGAGCAGGTTTCTGAGGCTGTTAAGAAATGCAGCTCCTGTTCCACTTAAAGAACACGGCTAAAAAGTGCAAGGTCACATATTCTGCACTTGGGAAGGAAGACTTACCACTCTTCTAAAACCTTGACCACACCCTAACTATCCCAGCCAGCCATCTTGAAGATGAACTAGGTCATAAAGAAGATTTAGCCCAAAAAAAAAAAAAAAAGGAAAAAGAAAGAAAGAAAGAAGAGGAAAGAGGAAAAAGCAAATCATTTCCATGCAATTTCATCACCACAGCTGAAAAACAGTTTAAAATACCTGTCCTGCCCTACTCATAGCATCATTTCGTTAGGGAGAACACAGGAGTAGGCCACGGACGAAATGTAATGTACATAATGAAGCCTTGGAATGTGGGTTCCTGAAGAGAATGAACTTAGTCATAGATCTGCTCCCCAGAGCAATGAACTCACTGTAATGTGCCACATAAATAACAAGCACCAAGGAACTTAAAGAACTACTCTACACAAGATAAGAGAAGTGTAAGAATTTCAGGTGATCTATGAGAGGGACCCATAATCTAAAATCCTCTAAAGCTACCAGTCTGGTTTGGACCCACCTCTATTTTGCAGGGACTGTATCTGCAGACGTTTTCATTTTGTTTGAATATAAAACTCTCCCTTACCTAATTGCCTAATTTAGATCGAAAGATCACTGTCTTACCTGTTTTCACACTGAGATGTATTTTTGAATTTTCAGCAAGAGAAATGTCTTATTTTCTAACCAAATGAATGCCACCTACCATATCTGTGACACAGTTTCCACCAAGAGAGTCACAATACAAAGGCAAAACCTCTGGAAATGTCTTTGTTGAGAACCGTTCACTCAATCCCAGAATTAAGGAAATGAATTAAAAACAAAAACGAAAACAAACACTTAATTTGTTCTAGGTTCAGCTGAGACTGAATTACCAATTATTGAACTGTTCCTCTTTGTTCAGGCCACGTAATAGTTGAAAGTAATTTTATGTTGATCTAATATTAGTAAATTTAATTTTTCACATTGATTTCACTATTCCGTTGACCTTGAAAATCTCCTCCACAATGATTACATTTGTTCCTATACAGTCACAAAAAAGTTACAACTCCCTCCAAGACTGGTTAAAGTGAAGTGCCACAGTGTAGACTATGCAGTATCTTTAACTGGTCTCTACACTTTATTTGTCTGACGATTTCTTGGTATGAAAAACCTCTGAACCAGCAGCAACTTCGAGAACGTTGAGAAAAATAAATAGTTTCTGGAAGCAAAGGGCTACTAAAAAACAGAAGCTCTTTGCCTTAATTTACCCATTAGAATTACTATTGAAGAAGGGGGGAGCAGATTTTTTAAAATTACCTAAAACAAAGTGCCTTTAAGGGGATCTCTTGAGAATTCCTACCGGAATGAAAGAAACCGTTCAATATTCTTCTAATTTTAGTTAGATTACATTCCTGATGTATTTGAGAAAACAAAGTCCATAACACAGAATGAGCACTCCTGACTCTCCAAATAGCCAAGCATCACAACCCACAAAATTATTTGTTTCCCCTCCCACGTGACATCTGAACTCACCACTTGCAAGTCCCATCTCTGGATAAATTTAGTCCCTAAGTAAATATATTAACTACTCTAGCTAAATCTGAAGCATGTAAGTCTTGTAGTTTAGCCGACCGGATGGATGGCTACTTTCCCAGTACTCTAAGGAAGTTTTTTAAGAACTAGTGAAAGAAATGAGGAGGTAGATGGAAGAGAGGGAAGCCAGCAGGGGTCCTGAAAGGGAAGCTCCTCATCTGGAAAAAGGAAGGGAAAAGTGAGTAGAATCACAGAAAATTCCTTGTACCCTAATTGCCACTGTTTTCATGACAACCTTAATAAATAATCTTTAAAATATGAAGGAAGAGATCTGTAAAACTCCTTTCAGAAATGATAATAGGGGAAGTTTACAAAGTCATTTGCTACCATTTGCCTCCTGTTCAGTGTCTGCTACAGCAAAAGACAAGTTTGAAAGGGCCAAAAACTACAAAAAGGCTGAATGAAAGAGAAGTATGCCAGGGGTCATCAGTTCTTGTTATGTTACAGATTTTAAATGGAATTCACTAGGCTTTTGAGAAAAAATACATTTTGTTACATATCAAAGAATCTGTCTGTAGGCCACCCCCAAACACATATGTTTAATCAACTTATACAACGCAACAGCCACACATACTGGGGATTTCAAATACTGCCTTTAAAAACATACACCCATACACTGTAATCCCACCCAAAATTGTTCTTTAAATCTCTGCAGTAAGGCGTGCGTGCACGCACACACACGTGCACACACACACTTAACTTGATGTAAATCTAGCCCTTCTTGCTTAAACACCCCGAGGAAAAGAATGAACGCCTCAATATGCTCTCCTCTTCTTCAGATCCTAAAAGACTCGAAAAGAAGCAAATGGAGTTCAAAACGAAGAAAGAAGGCAAGGTAATACAGGAGAATACAACTGGAGACCCGCTCGGGGGCTCATTTTATTCCTGGAAAATGTCATCTCCATTCTTTCCCCAAACCCAAAGGCCAGGCACCACTGGCGCACTATCATCCCTGTCCAAAGCGCCAAAGAGTTGCCAACTAATCTCCCAAGGTGTCCCCCAACCTCCTCACCTCATCAGCGCTCAGCTCCTCCATCGCTTTCCTCTTAATGGTGAAAGGCGTTAGGGAGAGATCCTTCTGTTCTTGAGACCAGGGCGGGAGGAGAGTGGAAGGTGTCTATCGGGCTGTCTGGTCCCCCGAATGGGGGAGGTTTCAGAATTGCATAGTCAGAGGTTAAAAAATAAGAACACGAGAGGCACTGAACCGCCTTGGCGTCGGTCACTCCAATCGCCCCACAGACTCCTACAGCTGCTTGTGGCCCGAGCAGCTTCCTTTGGCCACCACCGCGGCTGCTCTACAGGGTTATCTTAAGGCGCCACTATTGCCCTCTGCTTCCCAGGTTACCCAGACCAGGGACTCGGGTCTCCAGCACGTCTCGTGCCCTGAGCCTGCTGTGTCTTCGTGGTGGTGGCGCGGCAGGTGCGCTTCCTCCAGCAGATCCTGCTCTCCTTCCTACCCTTTGCCCCAGGCGGGAACTGTTCGACTGCAGAGTGGATGCCCCGAGGTAAGGCGACCCCAGAACCGCCGAGGCAGAGCCCAGCACTGAAGAGGGAAGCCCCTCCCCTCCCAAAGCAGGCCGGCCACGCCCCGCCTCCACGCCGGAGCCCGGGCAGGGGGGAGGGGGAGGACGGGACTCGCGATGCTCTGGATGGAAGAGTAAATCCTCCTACCCCTCCACCCCTACTCTTACCCCCTCGCCCCACCAAGTATTATTCATCAAAACAACAGGGCGGCCATCTTTGAAAGGGATCACGTGACCCCGCCACAGAGGCGGGGCTCCTGGCCCCAGGACGAGGCAGCCAATGGGTCGCGGGCGTCGCGCCGCCGATTTCCTCTCGCCTGCGTCTCCTCCCGCCCCCGCCCCACCCCCTCCCCCGCAGCAGCGCCGCGCGGGGGAGGGGCGAGCGGGGCGGCGGGCGGGCAGGGGCTGGGCGGCGCGGTGCCATGGCGACGGCCCGGGGGTGGCGGGCGCGGCCGGCGGGTCCAGGTAGGCTCCCGAGAGAGCCTGGCGGGGCGGGAAGCTGGGCGACTGGGGGACACTGCAGCGCCTCCGTTGTTCCCAGGCGCTTGCTTTTTGGCGACTCCACGATGCAGACCAAGTAAAGGAAAAGGGAGGACGTCTTGCTTCTGGGGCCAAGGTTCTCTAACGTTGTCCGCTTACGGCCTGAGAAACCCTTGGACACTTGTCCACGTCCGCAGAGAAAGCCCGTTTGGAGGAAAACTAAGACGAGTACAACTTCATTTTATTTGCCTTTGGGCTTTTCGAGAGTTCCTGCTTTGGCTTTTTTTTTTTTTTTTTTTTTTTACGTGTTCCAGAATGATGGTGAAATTTGGAAGTGCAAATGATCGGGAGACCTAAAAAATGTTGGAGTATCTGCGCACGTACAAGAAAGGCTTTTCAAGCCAATGGAGAGAAATCATCCTTACCTGCTCAAGTTTTTAATTGAGATATAATTGACATAGAACATCCTGTTCGTTTTAGATGTACAGCATAATGATTCGTGGGGTTTGGGGTTTTTTCTTTCTTTTGTTTTTAAGTATTTAAATTCCAGTTAGTAAAAATAAATAAATAAATAAATCCCAGTTACTTGATATACAGTGTAATGTTAGTTTCAGGTGTACAATATAGTGATTCAATACTTCCATGTAACACCCAGTGCTCATCACAGGTTCACTCCTTCATCCCCATCACCTATGCACCCATCCCCCCACCCACTTCTCCTCTGATAACCATGGAGGTAAGAGTCTGGAAAAAAAAAAAGGCTGGTTCTATCTTTGCCTTTCTCTCTCTCTTTTTTTTTTTAAACTTTGCTCATCTGTTTTTTAACTTAAATTCAACACATGAGTGAAATTATATGATATTCGTTTCTCTAACCCACTTAATATAATACTCTCTAGCGCCATGTTGTTGCAAATGGCACGATAACATTTTTTTTTTTAAGATTTTATTTATTTGACAGAGATCACAAGTAGGCAGAGAGGCAGGTAGAGACAGAGGAGGAAGCAGGCTCCCCACTGAGCAGAAAGCCTGATGCAAGGGCTGGATCCCAGGATCCTGGGCCTGAAGGCAGAGGCTTTAACCCACTGAGGCACCCAGGTGCCCCATAACATTCTTTTTTATGGCTGAGTAGTAGTCGTGTGTGTGTGTGTGTGTGTGTGTGTGTGTAAATATATACCATCTTTTTTTTTTAACTTTTTTTTAAAAGATTTTATTTATTTATTTGACAGACAGAGATCACAAGCAGGCAGAGAGGCAGGCAGAGAGAGGAAAGGAAGCAGGCTCCCCGCTGAGCAGAGAGCCTGACTCGGGGCTCTCGATCCCAGGATCCTGAGATCATGACCTGAGCCGAGGGCAGAGGCTTTAACCCACTGAGCCACCCAGGCGCCCCTATATACCATCTCTTTATCAGTTCATCAGTGGATGGATTCTTGGGCTGTTTCTATAATTTGGCCATTGTAAATAATGCTGCTATAAACATCAGGTATCTCTTTGAATTAGTATTTCGTATTCTTGGGTAAATACCCTTAGTGCAAGTACTGGATCCTAGGATAGTCCTATTTTTAACCTTTTGTGGAACCTCCATGCTATTTTCCGGTGGCTGCACCAGTTTGCATTCCCACCAACAGTGCAAGAGGGTTCCTTCCCCTTTGTCCGCATCCTCATCCACACCTGTTTTTCTTTGTGTTGTAAATTTTAGCTGTTCTGACAGGTGTGAGATGATACCGCATTGTAGTTTCGATTTGCATTACAACTCAATGATTTGGCATGTGTATCCATATATTGCAAAATGATTACCGAAATTATTTAGTTAACATCTGTCACCATATATAATTACCATATTTTTTCTTGTGATGAGAACTTTTAAATATTGTCTTAGCAATTTTCAATACAATATACAATGCAGTATTGTATACATATAGCAAGTCTATGATACAGGTTTTTAAAAAAGATTTTATTTGTTTATTTGACAGACAGAGACACAGCGAGAGGGGAACACAAGCAGGGGGAGTGGGAGAGGGAGAAGCAGGCTTCCCACTGAGCAGGGAGCCTGATGCAGGGCTCGATCCCAGGACTCTGGGATCATGACCTGAGCCAAAGGCAGCCACCCAAGCACCCCAGTGATACAGTATTGTTAACTATAGTCCCCATGCCCACATAACATCCCCAGGATTTATAACTAGAAATTTGTGCCTTTTGACCCCCTACCCATTTGGCCCAACTCTACCCCTCTCTGGCAATCACCAATCTGTTCTCTGAAGAATACAAATATTTTGTAATATAAAAATCTAAACTGAGCGGTCCGAATAGCAGTATCATGAAATTCTAGATTTTGCCACATCCTGAAGAATACACTATATTGGATTTACTAAACCATAATCTTAAAGATTGTATTATAGAATTAAATGAATTTCTTTTTTTTTTTTTTTTTACCCCCTTTGGTACTTGCTTAGAATAGTAACCTGACAGCTAGATATGCAAGGAATTTGTGAGTAAAATGAGACCACTGCTGGCTTTGCATATTATCTGCTCTCCAGGAAAGGAATTCTATGTAAGCCAGAATTTGAACTCACAGTGACATTGATGTTAATACGTTCATGTCTCACTTCTTTTTTTAAACATCCTTATTGTAATATAATTCACATACCATACAATTCGCTCATTTAAAGTATACAAAGATCAGTATATTCACAGTTGTTCAACCATCACTAATTCTAGAACAATTTTATCACTGCCCCCCCCAAAAGACTACATACCTATTAGCAGTCACTCCCTAATGTCTCCTCTCCTCCCTGTGGGCAACCAGCAATCTGCTTTCTGTTTTGATTTCTTTTCTAGATTTTATTTAGTTATTTGACAGAGAGAGCACAAGCAGGGGGAGAGGCAGGCAGAGGGAGAGGGAGAAGTAGGCTCCCCTCTGAGCAGGGAACCCAATGCCGGACTCAATCCCAGGACACCAGGATCATGACCTGAGCTGAAGGCAGACACTTAACTGACTGAGCCACCCAGGCGCCCTTGCCTTCTGTTTCTGTGAATTTTCCTATTCTGAATATTTCACATGAATGGAATCCTACACTATGTGGCCTTTTGTGTCTAGCTGCTTTCATTTAGCATATACTTTCAAGGTTTATCTGTGTTGTAGCATATATCAGTATTTCCTTCATGCCAAATAATGTTCACTATATGAATACGTCACATTTTCTTATCCATTCTTCAGTTAATGGACATCTGAGTTGTTTGCACCTTCAGGCTATTATGAATGATGCTGCTATAAACATTCATGTACAAGTTTTTTATGTAGACGTGTTTTCATTTCTTTTGGGTATATATCTAGAACGAGAATGGCTGGGTTATATATTTAGCTTTCTTTAAAAAAAATTTTATTTTTAAGTAATCTTTACACCCAATGTGCTCGAACTCACCATCTCCAGCTCGAGCTGCGAGCTCTACTGGCCGAGCCAGCCAGGTGCCCTGTAGATGTTTAACTTCTTGAACAACTGACAAACTTTTTGCACAGCAGCTGCACCATTTTGCATTTTTTTTTTAAAGATTTTATTTATTTGACAGAGAGATAGAGAGCACAAGTAGGCAGAGTGGCAGGCAGAGGGAGAGGGAGAAGCAGGCTCTGTGCTGAGCCAGGAGCCTGATGTGGGACTCGATCCCAGGACCCTGGGATCATGACCCGAGCTGAAGGCAGCCGCTTAACCCACTGAGCCACCCAGGCGCCCCCCATTTTGCATTTCTACCAGCGATGTATGAGCATCCCATTTATCAACCTCTCCGGCACTTGTTACTGTCTGTCTTTTTTATTACAGCCACACTTGTAGGTGTGAACTGGTGTCTTATTGTTGTTCTGCTTTTCAGCTCTCTAAGGGCTGATGAAATTGAGCCTCTTTTTGTGTGTTGAGTAACCATTTGTCTATCTTCTTTGACCAAACAGAGTTCACTTTTCATTGAGTCACTTGTATTTTTCCTGTTTTCAGAAGTCAGAGTTCTTTACGTATTCTAGATCCCAGTCCCTTATCAGATGTGCAATTTGCAAATCTTTTTTGAGTACAGCTGACACAGTGGTACTTAATTTCAGGTATACAATGCAGTGATTCGACTGCTCGGAACGTGATGCTGTGCTCACAAGTGTGACTGTTGCTTGTCACCATGCAATGCCATTACAGGACTGATTGTATTCCCAATGCTGTACCTTTTGTTGCTGTGACTCACTCCATAGCTGAAGGCCTGTATCTCTGACTCCCCTTCACCCGCTTGGCCCATCCCTTCATCCCCCTTGCCCTACAGGTCCGATTGCAATTTGCAAACATGTTTTCCCAGTCTGTGGGTGGTCTTTTCACTTTC